ACAACTTGGGCTATCCTTGTCCTCTCTGGTCCGGATGACATGGCGTCCCAGTGTTCCATAAAGAACTTCAAATCGTGACTCATCTGACCACAGAACAGTCTTCCATTTTGCCACACTCCATTTTAAATGACCCCTGGTCCAGTGCAAACGTCTGAGCTTGTGGAGCTTGCTTAGAAATGGCTTCCTCTTTGCACTGTAGAGTTTCAGCTGGCAACGGCGGATGGCATGGTGGATTGTGTTCACTGACAATGCTTTCTGGAAGTATTCCTGAGCCCATTCTGTTATTTCCTTGACAGTGGCATTCTTGTTTGAGGTGCAGTGACGTTTAAGGGCCCGGAGATCACGAGCATCCAGTAGAGTTTTACGGCCTCGACCCTTACGCACAGCGATTGTTCCAGATTCTCTGAATCTTTTGATGATGTTTTGCACGGTTGATGATGATAACTTAAAAGTTTTTGCTATTTTATGCTGGGTAACACCATTCTGGTATTGCTGCACTATCTTTCTGTGCAACAATGGTGGAATTGGTGATCCTTTTACCATCTTGGCTTCTGAGAGACACTGACACTCTGAGAAGCTCTTTTTATACCCAATCATGTTGTCAATTGACCTAAATAGTGTTAATTGGTATTCCAGCTGTTCGTTATATGCTCAATTTCCTTTTGCCAGCCACTTATTGCTACTTGTCCCAACTTTTTTGGGATTTGTTGACACTGTGAAATTTTGAATCAACATATTTTTCCTTTAAAATATGTTACATTTATTCAGATTAAACTTTTGATCTGTCATCTATGTTATATTACGAATAAAACATTGACATTTGCCATCTCCACAGCATTCAGTTTTTATTCACAATTTGTTTAGTGTCCCAGCTTTTTTGGAATCCGGTTTGTACATGGAAATAAGTAATCGGATCAAACGGCCGTTAGGAATAAAAACGGATCATGTAAACACCCCATTCGGGTTATTTTTTGTTTATTCAGCGTGATCCGAAATAATTTGTGATCAGAACAAAACGGGTGGTTTCCAATGATTCATAACCCGAACGGTGCAAATGTAAACCCTTGATGTGTTCGTTTTTTTCTGATGGTGAAAAATTGACCTGACTGTGATTTTGTCATTTCCACCTGACTAATGTTAATAATATTAGCATATCGGGGAAGTAAAACTGGTCGTTGAGTGACACAACATTTCTACTTGAAACTTTGAAAGAGCTCAAAATGATCTGTATCACCTGTAGCTCAGCCAGGGAGTGCAGTAACGTCTCCACCGTCATTAAAACCTGTCGCCGTTTGGGTGCTCAGGTTTGTTTATATTCATCCCGGAAGTAAACCGGAAGTAGAACTTCTTCTTCTGTTGGTTTTTTTTTTTTTTTTTTTTAAGGAGAGTTTACCAATCTGCACATGCCAGTACTTCTATTCAGAACAAAGCCCGCTGCATGTAAACGCTTGCCACGAACAGATTGTGCCCATGTAAACGATACATTTGAATTATTTAATCTGAAAATATTTCAATCAGGTCAAAAAAATGTGCGCATGTAAACATAACTACTGAGGACACTGGGGGAGGAGGAGACGCTGGAGACACATGCGGCCAGGCAGAGAGCAGAAAATCTGGCGATAGAATGGACTGTGTGTCGTGGGAACAGGAGATGATTAGTTGTCCTTTAGAAGTTCTTATCTTGGCGAGTACTTGATTGTATTCAGGAATAAGTGAGAGTCCAGGCTGGGAAAGTAAAAAATTTTCAATGGAGAGCGTAGTCTTCTGAACACGCAGATCTGGGTTGTGTGAAGCAGACGAGAACAGTTTCTGAAGTTGTTTCTTTATAGCTAAGATCCATGGGTGAAACAGTTGCAGCTTGCATGTAGGCAGAGAGGTGGGTGTTTACTGGGTCCTTCTGTGTTGTGCACTCTGTAGTTTGTGAAGGATTGGACCCAAATGCAGACAGATGCAGGGAGCTCAAAGGTTAAACTCAAAAAAACTTTAGTTTAATAAAGCAAAACAAAAAGGCTGCTGTGGCAACAAAAACAAACTAATACGAAAAACTTCAAATGATTGCAAGAGAACACAGAAACACAAAGCTTTGAGGTGCACAGGCCAAACCCTGAACTGATGAGCGGTGAAACAGAGGCTGAATAAGGACAACAGAGATAAGTGGGAAAAAGAAACACCTGGGCTGATTGGGGACAGATGAGGGTGGTAGACTGTGGAAAATCACTGAGGAAGCTGCCTGAGGGTAATGAGAAATGGCACAACACTGAAAAACAGACTAAGACGTACACAAGAATACTAAAATAAACTTAACAGTGAAGTACAAAAAACACCAAAGGAATAGGTCTAATAGATCAACTCAATTAAATAAATAAGAAAGAAACATAACTATGACAAAAACAGCTACAACTCCGTCGTTTCTCACCATAAGATGATGAAGTCTATAAAACCCCTGCATGAAAGGCAGTGATGTGCATTTCTTAAGGAAAGTTGGGTCTTTACATAATGAACAATTATCAAACATTTGTTGTTAGCTCAGGTAGCATTCATGCTAAGTGTGGAAAATGTTAAAATAAAAAAGTTTTCAGGCAGACAGAACATGAGGAGGGATAAGTAGAAGGTCAGATGATGACGATGATGTTGTCAAACAGCAGAATCTTATCGGTGTTTTGGCTCAGGCTGATTAGCACATCAAGGGTAAAATCTGCATCTTTCATTCTTTGTTTCTCTTTGTTCACCTCCTTGTGGTGCAGCATAAAATCTTCAATGGGCCCCTCCAGGATTACATCATCAATAAGCCATTAGCATCCGTATGTTTCATCTCTTTCTCTCATCTCTTTTCTTTCTCTCTCTCACACATACCCACACAGGCTCAAATACACAGGAAATATAATGAGAATTTTGACAATGGCAGTGAGACTAACTTTA